TACATATTGTCTATGTATTGACTTCAAAACTTCATTTATTGACACACCTGTCATAACCCAAGAGCCTTATGTATCGACATATAGAAGGCGGTGACTTTTATTTTAAAAGCTCTTCAGTATGTGTCGATCCATAACATGGATGTAAAATTATAATTTTGACTTGTAAAAACCTATCTAATCTGATTTTAAGTGTCTTAATATGAAAATGCACATTTAGACATAGAGAATAAGATTCAATATACACAAATACTAAGTGTCCTAATTTTGAAATCATGTAAAATATTTTCTAAAAGGATAGTGCACTCCCACTGCAAACTCCTATATTCTTAAAGAAACCTCCAAGCCACCAAGTAAATCAATGATATTTTTACCGATATAATTAACAATTCTAAACCATCAAGTAATTGATTCAGAATAAAGAGTGTTCCAAAACAGAAATGTGCTCTAAATCATCTTTGATAAAAGGAGTATTATCTTCTTATTAAATGCAATGTAAATTTAATAAAATTTCTTCCAGCAATATTTGTATGATTAAATCTTTAACCAATATATGGGATTGAGGTTTGGAGCATAATTTCTAATCTCGGAGTGGTAGCGAAAGACAAGAAGAATGATTATTCGAAGAAAATAGCGAAAATGGAGGCAGTAGATAAGGCCATATTCAATGGTAAGAAGGCGCTTAAAATTGGTACATCATGATTATTAGATCTTCAAATATTCGTGGAGGAGGTAACTATTCCATAATAAAGAGAATCACCAGTATCATTAGTGCGGGTAAAGTAGGTATATTTTTTTATTCGGGAATCAAAAATGAGGGTGTTTGAGTCTTCTTTCATGAGGAATCTAAAATGGTTTTTTTTTGGAGGAATTATTTCTCTGTGAAATTCGAAAACTATTCATCCTATCTTTTCTTTCACGGGGAAGGATTTCTTGGGATGAAATTTTCTTGGAAAAATGAAGTTATTATGTTGTTAATGTCTATTATAGGTGTTGTTTAAGATTTGAGAAAGTTGTGGTCTGACTTATTAAATCTCAAGAGGAAGGTGAATGATGGGTGTTCAAAGTATTTGCAGTGGGTATTTGTTTTATCGTCTCCACAAGGATTGAAGTGGTATTACCGTTGTTCAACAGTTTATTAAGTGAGGGTTTCGATTGGTTTTGGTTTGGTGAATACATTCATAAGAGTTTACATTAATGGGTAAAACTTTAGAAAGATTTGTTATTTTAAAAGACATATCAAGACTAGATTTCATCAACCTATTTTGCATGTACTCGATTAATCAAGCATGTGAACTTCATTCATAATCAACATAATCATGTATCATCTATACCACTTATGTTTAAGACGGTATTGCGATTTTTACCGTATTGTTTAATCGACAATGTCTCAACCTATTAAACGATACAAATAACATTTATGAACCAATACAAAATGAATATCAAATTTCACTTTCATGACTAGACTTGGTCTTCGATAGATTATAAACTTAGATCAAGACATAAAATATGTATCTCACAATCATTTAAACCATAAATATTCAATAAGAGCAAAGGTTATCATCTACATTGATTATCAAGTTATTCACATACAAAAGATCAAAGGAAATGCATACAAGTTAAGATTGACTACATATAATCTTGATACAAAGGATTTAGTTATCCATAACCATGGTAGCTTGCTTCACAAGAAATGGAAGGAGATGAATGTGCATTATAGTTGAATAATCGACAAAGGATGTGAATCCATCTCCAATTTAATAAAGATCACCTTTTTTAATCAAAAGATGAAGTTCTAGGGTTTTCGTGTCTAAGGAAATAAGATGATAAAAAGATATCTATCAACAATAGATCCTAAATATCTAAGAAAATTTGCGTTGCCCGATGAAGTCCACTTTGAGACACTTCAAGTGCCTTAGATCATCAAACTGCCTTTGGGGAAAATGTTTTTCCTCGCGAGTTCGACCAGACCTTGTCAGGGGACCATGATGCACTTTTGGTTCTGCCTCTATAGTGTTTTGCCTCGCCTTCTGTTTGCTCGAGCTCACTTTCTGTTCGATACTGCTCGCTCGACGAGGATGCTTAAACAAGTCTTCTTTGCTTTGGCTCCATTTTCTTGGTTTTGAATCTCTTTCTTTGATTCCTATGCACCAATCCTACACACTAGCACACAAATAAGGGAAACCAAAGTTATATATAAGTTTAAAGGAATTTCATACAAAACTATGGATTTAAACATTCGGAAATGAAAAATAGTACTGAAAATGCCAAGAAAAATAGTAAATTTTTAGTCACAATTGGCATTCAACAATGGGTCGTGGAGTTTGGGAGGAGACTTTAATGAAATTTCTCATGCTTCTGGAAGAAAAGGGATTTCTCTTGATAACAGAAAATTAGAACAGAGGGAATTTAATGTTTTCATCATTGATATGGATTTGGTTGACCCTCTATGTTCTAGTAATCCTTTTAGGTGGTACAGTGTGGATGGCAAATCTATTAGAAGGATTGATAGATTTTTGTTGGCTGATTCTATTATTGGCAGTTGGGGGTTGTAGGTCAAGTTATAGGGAAGAGGGACACATCTGATCATTGTTTGATTTGGTTGAAGGTTAATTCTCTTAATTGGGAGCCTAAAACATTTGAAACTAATGATTTTTGGTTTGGGAACAAAGAGTTCTTAAAGTTTATTGATAAGGAATGTTGAGGGCTTAAAGTGGTTTTATTTCGCAGGCAGTTGTTGGATGGAGTTTTGGTCGCTAATAAAATTGTGGACAGAGCTACTAGAGAGAATAAAGAATGTGTCCTTTTCAAAGTAGACTTTGAAAAAACGTATGATTGCATTAATTAGAACTTCCTTCGTGCTATGATGAACAATATGGGATTTGGAAGAATTTGGATTAGGTGAATGAAAGCTTGTATTTTCAAGTGTCATTTGTCTATCTTGGTGAATGGCATCCCGAGGAAGGATTTTGAAATGGGAAGAGGATTAAGACAAAGAGATCCTCTTTCTCCTTTTCTTTTTGTGATCGTGGCAAAGGGTTTGTCGGGGATGATCAAAAAGGCGGATGAGTTAGGAGATTTTAAAGGTTTTAGAGTATATCATGAAAATTCTATTGAATTAATCCAATTTGCTGACGATACTTTGATTATATGGGGAAGGTGGATGGAAGGTCCTTTGGAGCATTAAATTCATTCTCATGGGGTTCGATCTCGTTTCAGGTTTGGGAGTGAATTTCCATAAAAGTAGGCTATTTTGTTATTAATGTCAGACATCATTTTTTATCTGCTGCATCCGACTTTTTATCCTACAAGATTCAGGATTCAACTTTCACTTTCTTGTGCATTTATATCAGGATTTGTGTTCGGTCAGCAGAAGGAAAGATGCTTATGTAGCATACTTGGGAGAGTGGCGTGATGAATCTTGGAAGTGGGGATATCTCGGTATCCCTTTGTTGGTTCAACGTGCTAAACCAGATTTGTTTCAGAATTTGATGTTGAAGTTGTACGACTACTTTATTTTGTTTGATAATGCAGATGCTTGCTTTGAAAGAAAGAAGTGATTCAAAAGTTCTTTGTTGGAGAGGTATACCAATTGTTGATGGAATCAAGAACACATGAGTTTTTGTCTTTTGATCAGAGTCATGCATTTAGTTACTTGTGGAAGATTCGAGTGTCAGCGAGAATCTTATGGAATAGAGTGACAACCAAAGATCAATTGTCCCTAAGAGGTATGACTAATCTTGACAATTCTTGAGTGCTTTGTGAATTAGAGGAAGAAAGTTTAGGCTATCTTTTGTTTGAATGTTCGGTTTCCTCTTTGATTTTGGAGGTGGTGGGTTCTTGGTGTGAGTGTTGGGTTCCATATGCAGGTTGTACTTGAGACTTTTATTGGATTAGTGTGGGGTGGGAAATAACCAAGATGGAAATGTCAAGATGGGTGTTATTTGGTTAGTTGTGGTTTGGTGCATTTGGAGGAATACGAATGATAGAGTTTTTAATGGTGGAATTTGTAATGTAAATGATTTGTGTTTGGAATGTTAAATATTTTGCTTGGAGATAGTCTCGTTGTGGTGAAATTTCTTACTCCAACTCTAACTTTCTTGCCTTTAGCATGGATCCTTTACGTTGTTTAGGTTAGGTTGATGTTGGTTGAGAATTTATATTACAGCATTTTGGTTTTTGTAATGAATTAAAATACCCGTTGTATTCTCTTATTATTGATATCTTGCTTTAAAAAAATATCTTCAATCGCAAATCAAGTTTAACAAAATTTTGAACTGAACAAAAATGAACTAAATCTTGTAATGAACTCTTAAATCAAACTCAAAATCAAATGTGACAGAATCAAAATTTCAAAAATAATGCAGTAGAGAAACACGTAGTCAAGATATCCTCAACAATATTGACATCTTATACAACATTTTACCTATCAATCTAAATTTAATAACAATATTGTATAAATATATCATTTATTTTAAGACAGACTTTTTTATAAACTATTTTTGGTGTAGAGGTGCAGAGTGAGTACTATACAGCACACTTCCATTATTGTTGCTAAGAGACAACTGCCATAAACGGACAATATACAGCATCCATAATTAGTTCACGAGTTGACACACAGAATGAAACTAGTCATCACCAAAAACAGGTTTAGAATTCAAGTTTTCATAGATTCTTAATTTTAAATCATCAACATAATTATTGGTTTCAAAAATCCAACTTTTTCAACAACATTATTATTACATAATAATAACAGCTAATGAAGTCAAAAACTTAGAATAAGGTAAAAATAATATAATGAAAACAAAACAGTCACGAGACACTACAAAACAAATCACCTGCCACCACCAAGCTTTCTTCCTCACTCTGTCTTTGTAAGACTTTTTGTTCTCAAATCTCTTTCATTTACTCTCTTTTCCTTTTCATCCTATAAATCATAAACTAACCTACCTTCACAAACTTCAATTAATCTCACTTTTTGCTTCTCCATACAAAAGTTAAACATGGTTGTAACACAGTTATTAAAGTGTTTTGTTCTTTTGTTTTTCACTTTTGTGTTCAATTTGTTTACCGCTCCTGCTTGTGCCCTCAACATAGGAGCTGAAACCACTGGAGTAGCTGTTTCTGTTGTAAGCATATTAATTATGTCTTAACATGTGCAATTAGCACTTTCTTAATTTTTTTTAATTATTCATTTTTCTGTAGAGCAAAGAGTGTAGCAGACAATGTGAGTCCAGTTTCTGCTCAGGTGCATGTCTTAGTTATTAGTATTTTTTAGATAATATTGTTTGATCTTTGTTCTCATATTTTTATGAAAAATTTGAAATGACAGTGCCTCCATTGTTGAGATATGGAAAGTATTGTGGACTTTTGTATAGTGGATGCCCAGGTGAAAAACCTTGTGATGGCCTTGATGCTTGTTGTATGAGCCATGATCAATGTGTCACAGCCAAAAATAGTGAGTTCTTTTTATACATCTTGTATTTCCTTAATAGAATTCGGATATAAGTCTAACTCAACTCAAAAAAAAATGCTCAGAGAGTTAGAATTATCAAGTCTTTTAGAAGCTAGATCTTCAATTTGGGTTATCAAACATACCCTGAAATGAAATAAAGATAGTAGGTAGCTGATAGGGATTTTTGACCATATAAAATTACTTTATTTCTAATCCATGAATGACCCTTCTTTTTAACTCAAGGAATATGCTTAAGAGGACTTGATATTGATAGCAAGTCTTACCAAACTAGTGTTTTATTGAATACTTAAGACTATAGATTTGATAATTTCCACAACAGGAAAAATAAATTAGGTGGGTGTATCTTAGTTAATTTATGTAGCACAACAGTGCAAGTATCTAATGGTGGTGTCTATCTTATGCAGATGACTACTTGAGCCAACAGTGCAGCCAAACATTCATAGATTGCATGGAGAAATTTAAGAACACAAAGGCTCCTACATTCAAAGGAAACACATGTCAAGCAGATGATGTTATTGAAGTAATCAAGATAGTCATGGAAGCTGCTTTACTGGCTGGAAGAGTTTTACACAAGCCCTAAACAGTAATCTTAAAAGTTAAAACTAATCAAATGATTTATTGCTATCAATGTATTCTATTCATGTTTTTGTATAACTCATCAATTCTAAATGGATATTGTTTTCATCTGTATGAACTGTCAACAAATGAAAATAAAGATGGATAAGCTAACTCCATCATGAAACATAGTAATAATTAAGGATAAAACTAAGGTCTACAATTGAATACAAAAACAAATGTAGACTAACTTCAAAGTCAAATGGTTACAAAAAAATGATCATTCTATGCATATCAAATGAGTCAGTGGTGAAGTTATATGATGATGAGTAATAGATAGCAGTTTGTTCAAATTCCTCTATATACCATTACTACGGCGCCGCAGGTTCACCAAATGGCTGAGAACTATCCTTTCCTTCATAAAATAAAATAATGCTCAGAAATAACAAAAGTTCTGATGAAACCATATGTGCACAAGAGATATAGCTAATATAACTGTTCAAAAACATAAGCCAAATGCTGTGTTGCTATGGGAAACAGAGAGAACTGGCAAAAAAGATGTATCCAACTTCACAAAAGACTTCAGTTTCTGCTTCTTTTTATAATGCTCTTGAAACTGGTGTTTGTTTTCAGCTAGTTTGAGCACTTTCTTGTTTAGGCTTCACGGGTGGCAATTTTGGTAACACCCAACTTGGTGAATCATTAAGCCACAGCCCTACACCAGTATCTTTGTGTTTGAAATCTGGACCTCTTGGATTCCTCTGAAATGTACAAAATGAAACGCTACCTCAATAAAAGAAATCTAAGGAAGAGTGAAATAAACTTGTAGAGATTTAAAAGCCCCAAGGCAAATCAGAAAATGGGGTCACCTTGTCTAATCTATTATCCCACCATTTAGCTGGATTTTGCAACAAATCATTCCAGGACTCATCACCTAAACCATGTTGAGACAAATGCATTTGTCAAATATAGTAATAAAACAGATATAGGGAGAGAAATGAAACGGAAAAAGGTTGTGAGGAATCTTGAGTTGCAGAGTGCAGACAAAACACAAGACATTGCCCAAACATAAAAATGCTAAGTATCTACAGAAGTAAAAAGAAAATGAATTTGAATTCTATAGAAACCACTGAGAATCTCTCTGTGCCATCATTAACCACATTTAAGATGCATAGAAAAGTTTTTGTGATAAAGGAAATAATTTAAAGACCTTTACTGTCCTTTGCTTGTTTGGATTTAACAGCTGGAACGTCAAATTCCAGTTCTTCTAGTTTAGACAGAACCCACTCTGGAGCCTTGTCAATCCAGATGGGAACGCTGCCATCCTTGCGCTTGAAGTCAGGGTACCTTGGACTCACCTACTAAATAGATACGGATATAAAAGAAAAAACCCAAATATATAAGTGTAAGAGAAAAATATACACCAAGTCATCAATCATTACCAATCCACTGCGTTTGCTGTCACGGAAATCCAGCCACTGTTTTGGATCATTTAGTAGGTAGTCCCAAGAATTTGACAAATAGTCGGGGTATTTCTTTGTGGTGGCTGTAAAAATAGACCAAAATGGAAATAATGTGGATCTTAAAACTACCCAAAGAGCCAATTTTACTTTAAAATAGAAGAGAATCAAGAGACATACTTATTGTTTGTTTCAGTTCAGGTTGTAATTCACCATCTGTCTTGCTTTCGAGCGCTGCACCTTTTGGACTCTCCTACATTTAGATGCACAAAATTTCAGAAAACAAATATGAAGGATGTGTCGTTATTGCCAAATAAAGAAGGACAAAACAAAGGATACAAAACAAAAAGTGGAGAAAATTCAAAAACCTTTGTTGAATGAACAACCTGCCATCTACTAGGTTTATTAAGGACATCCTTCCAGGATTTCCTTTTGTCAAGTTCCTCGGTTTGCTCGGAATGGATATCCTTTTCCAATGACTTGATTTCTTCATCGTCTTTTTCTAATAACATATATAGATAATATTATAAAAAGCTTATCAAAGTTCATAGCATAGCACTGCTAGTTAAAGCATCACACACTTACAAGATTTTCACTTTGATTAATATAGTAAATAATAACAGTACTTCACCTCCTTTTCCTCTAATAAAATTTCTTTTAGCATGTAAAAAGAAAATATCTTGGTGAAAAAACAATATGAAAGAAAATAAGTTATGAAGAAGTTATTGTTAAACCATTTAGTCCCAATTTATTATAGAAGCATGCCAATAAATTATTGAAGTGTTAAGGTGAACATTTGTCTAAACTTGATATTGTGAAATTGATTTGATTAAAATTAAGTTAGGAGGCTGCGTTTTCACTCTAAAAGCATGTTTATCTAAAACTTAGGGTAACTTATGTAACTTACATGCAAAAGCTACTTCTATTATTTTCCATCAAAATGAGGTTTGGTGTCTTAAAACCAAATATGTACTTTTACAAAAATTTATGCCCTGAAACCAAAGATATACTATTTTTACAGCATGTTTGGATCCACGTTTTATGTGGGATTTCTTGCATCCCAATGTGTTAAGAGTCCTGAACAAATTGCAGTAGAAAGATTGAGAAGAAAAGAGAAATAGAGAGAAAAGAGAGTTTTATTGATTAATGGATTTCTGCCTACAACTGCAAAAGAAGTTACAGCCCAATTGTTACAAAAAAAAAAATCGAATGCGTCTCCCCTGGTACTCCTATTTATACACGTCCAAACCTTCAAGAACAAACTCTTAAAATGTGTACTCCTAAATTCCTAACACTATGCATATTCAATATGGCTTTACAGAAGCAAGAAAACATAGAGCTAGAGCCTCATTAGATTTGAGCTTATCCAGTGGCATAACTATTTGTGAAACTGTTTTGGGAAAGCTCATGAAAACAACATATGACATGGTTTCAGCTTATTTCCATAAGCTCTCTGGGATAGCTTATGAAACGGTTCAACTTTATTTCATCTTTTATTAAAGAAATACCCGATGCATAAGCACATAAAAGATAAGCAATTATATGCTATAAGCGCTCAATAAAATTGTTCGTCGAAATCGAGCACTAGTGCACTTTGTCATGACATTGTGATTCTTTAATTTTCCAAAACACACTCTTAACAACACTAGTTCATTCAATTTCAATTGCATCAACTTTCCCATCCATAAAAATTACAACCTACTAACAAAGATGAAATTGAAAAAGGAAGTAGTACTACTTAGTACTTACCAGAAGAAGAATCCAATTTTTGCTTAGAAGTTAAAGAAGCCTTCTTCACCAGAGGATAATCTTGAACAAAGTTAAGGCTTTGCGCCATAACCTAATAACAACAATAAAATAAAACAATAAGATGTGTGAAATTTCAAACATAGGAGTAAACAAAAAAGATCGTTACTTGTTACATTACATTAACAAACCTGAAACTGGTATTGAGGTTCGGAATGCTTAGAATCAGTACTAATTTGTCCAACAACATGAACAACATCGTTTTGTTTGAGATGAAAGTTAGCGGTATGAGCTAAATCGCCTTGAAATATAACGGGAATCAAAAGGGAAGAAGGATTATGATCAAGACTAGAGATAACGGTGGCGGCGAAGGGGTTTCCGTCGGGAGAAATTTCAAACTGAACTGGCTTGTTAACGGAGCCGATTAGGTTGACAGAGTTGGCGAGTTTGGGTTGAAATGGAATCTCGGTGGGTTTTGAAAACTTGGATTGGGATTTACGAGTGGTGGTGGAATAGTAACTGCTATGTCGATATCGATGACGGAGTAACACCGAGTTCGATGAACACCATACTCGCCGGAGTAAATTCATTCCCAAAACCCTTCAAACGAGCTTTCAAAACCCTTCCGAGTGAAATAGATTTTTTGAAATTTTTGTTTTTTGTGTTAACTGAACGTTACAAATTTCAATTATTTATTTTGACTTAATATTATCTTATTGTTAATTTTTTTAAGGATTAAAAACTAAACTATGAGTGTTTTCGGACCGGTTTGCTTCGTTTAAGAGAGAATCTGATGTCTTAATCGATCAAAAATATGAGATTTGTTATGGTATTCTATATATTTTTAACGTACCATGTGAAATTCCACAAATGTCCCTTGATTTCGAAGATATATCTTTAAACACACTTAAACTTAAGTGAACGTTGAAATATTTCTAGAACATTTTGGAGTATAAGTCGTGTTATACACTTCTCCTTCCTCATTTTACTTTTCTTCAAACTTAAACTCAACTCTTCTCCTTCTCAATACACTTCAATTTCAACAAATTAATTTTCATCCAATAATGCTCAAAGAAACTCAAGGGAACATCAAGTATCATCTATAACATAATTCAATATCATTAAAACCATAAATTTCAAGTAAGTTTTTCGAGTTTTTAATAAATATTCGCGTTTTAGTGTAAACGAGCAGTAATCAATGATTAGGATTTAAAATATGTAGAAATTGCATGTAACATAGTTTAGACGTAGTGTATAACTTGTTTGTTGACAAAAAAATGGCGATCAAAACATTTTTTTCTTCAACTTTCATGAGGTACAATCACCATTGACGCAACCTCTATGTTGCAGAACATTTCGGAGATGCACCTCCAAAATTGTTCAGCGTTTCATATACTTTGGGAAATTTCGGAGGTGGAACTAGGAAATTGTTCAACGTTGTAGTTTTATGGTGTTTTCGAAGATTCATCTTCGAAATTGTTCAACGATATAGTTTTATGGTGTTTCCGGAGATGCATCTCTGGAATTTCTTGCAATATGTTTTATTTTTAAATTTTCTTGCTTGTGTGTGTTGTTTGCGTGCACTAATGATATGTCTTACTTTACCTTACAGGCATAATGGCTGACAGAGTTGACAAACGGAGACATGGCAGGGTTGCTCAGCATGCATCCATTCGGCTGGAGCGAGGTCTTCAAGTTTCGGAGGCTCCAGATACCTCTGGTCAGACAGAGGCGTCGACTTCTGGTGTGTCGTCTTCTCCCGGGGCGCGTGTTTCACCTCAGGCCACTTCACCTTCTTCTTCTCGTAGGAGACGGGATTCACCATCTGAGCGTCACTTCCCTCATCCTCTCGCAGGCGTCAGTATTCACAAGTGTCACCTCCTACGAATGATGTTGTTATTTTGGACCCATCTCCCACTGGTGATCGAGTACCACCTCCGGAGGGTGAGGCTGCTGCGGATGCCGATCCAAAGGGTTTTGGAGGAGGTCAATATGATTTATCATTACTTCCTCAGTATCTAGACCATATTTCCAGACATATCTGTGACGGAGGAGTAGCATTAGTTGGATTTTTTATTTTTAAACGTTAATTTTAATGGCTGAAATTGATTATTTTTTACATCAATTATTTCTAGATAACTTCAGGAGCGTGATCCCCAAAAGTTTCTTAACCATGGGAGGAAAATTATTGGCTTACCTCAGTCGAATGAGGATTGGTTTCAGATGGTTTTATCCTTGTCTGGCCCAAAGAACCTATGTGTGGCCGATTACACTCTAGTTAACCACATGATGCATAATGCATTCGTTGAGAGATGACACTTTGAGACCTCTTTGTTTCATCTCCTGTATGGTGAGATATCTATCACATTAAATGATGTCTCGTGCTTGTTACATATTTCGATCAGTGGGAGAATTCTCGATCATAGGAGGATGACCAAAGACGCGGTAGTCGAAATGATTGTAGAGCATTTGAGGCCTGATCTAGAGAAGACGATGGAAGAGGTGGATAGGACCAGGGGTGCTCATGCTAGATTTGAGTTTCTGAGGAAGATATGTGATGATGATATCCTTAGGACACAACAGGCTCATGGTGATGATGAGCATGTGGTTGTTCACAGAGCTCGTGCTTTGATAGCATACTTTATTTTTTTCGTTGGAAATTGCATTTTTATGGACACGAGTGCAACTTATACTAACGTTGCATACCTCTAATAATTCTTGGATCTCACTCAGATCCATCAGTACAACTGGGGGGATGGGTTGTTTGGCCTATCTTTATTCGAAGTTGAGAGAGGCATGTCAAAGTGTTTTAGGGTACGAGATGCGAGCCCAAATGATTCATAAAAAGAGCTTAGGATCAATTGGCTTAAACAAACGTTCCACCCTTCATGTAATTGGTTAGCCAAAGTGACAAACTTCTTGGCTACTTTTAGGGATTTAGAATAGAAAATATAATGAGATAACCAAAGTGTCAAAAGAAGCAATATGTTATTCATCTGACACATTTTCAGTTTGGTTTTCAACATGATCAATAATGAAGATGTTGTAGCTAGCACACTTGGAGTTGAAGTTGATGGTACATTCATCCTTATGGGTAATTTAAAAATGTCACCAATCAGTCGAAGATTGGTGATAACAACTACGTCAAGCAGAGTCAGTGTGATCATCCCACAACAGAGCTGGAAAGTCTTTGTCGAACTTTCCTAGAAATGCAGTGTTGCGAATAGAATGTCTGAAATGCATGTAGCGTCAACCCTAGACGCTTGAATCAAGTCTAAGAGACCATGTTTCATCCAAACTTTTCCTTTCTTTAACTCCACCTTGTTTATCCACCAAATGTACTCTTTTTAGTTTGTATATGGTACATAGCAGAAGACGTGAGAAGAGGCACTCATGAAGCTCATATCATAGTTTTGATTTAAGCAAACACGAGGTTTAATGTAATAGTAAAAGGGGAGATAACCCTCACTTTCTTAATATACGCAATTGGGTCAAGAAGTGAATCCAGAAATGCGTGTACATTATCAAAAACGGAGAAGGGAATCAGTACCTGAGATTTCCATTTAGGGTTTTTTTCTCCTTCATTTGTGGCTTAAGAACGTAAACTTGGTTCCCAACAGGAATGAGAACTTTGATGGTTACATCAAATGGTATTGTGTTTCTTGGGTTTTATGAAGACGCCATTGTTCAAAAATGGTGAAGTATCATTAGAAAAGATTAAGTTTTGGAGAGAGTGTTCAGTTTCTTCTAAGTACTAGGAAGTTGAGGTGAAGTGGAGAAAAGAAGAAATGCTGAAAGATGGGGTATATGTAGTCATATGAGAAAGACACGTAATTTCTCTTTTCCCCTCTCTTGAATGTAAACTATTGGTACATTTTAGTTTACACGTGTTTTCTTAGTTCATAGCTGATTTGGAGAAGGTTTTGTTATGTGACCCACGTTCTTCCTGGGAAAGCAGAATCGTGATGGAAGTCTTTTAGGTGCATGTCTCGAAAAGACATTTTGATAAATTACTTATGGTGACGATGACATTAGCACACTGTTTCAAATAGTATTAGAAGTTTAAAAAATGTCACACGTCTCTCAAGCGGTTGAAAATGCATTTTTGGGGGGCAATTTGTTATCGTGTAATTCTGGACGTGCAGAGTTCGATAAAGAGGATATAACACTAAGAAAATACTTAGTTAAAAATGAAGACAGATGGTTACATGTGCGACAAGGTTAGTGTTCGACCATAATGTCAAGTTCGACACATTGACCATGAGTTGGGACGTAGCATTTTCTCCAAATGTGGAAATTGTTTCTCCTTATAAATCGACAAGTTGAGTCATCAACCATGACATGAGGTGAAGTAAAATGATCAAATTGAGTAACTATTTTTAATCTTATCCCGATGTTGAAGACTTGTGGAAACAAGATATAGGTTGGAAACTTCACAGAGGGTTACATGTTGAATGCGAAAGACATAGTTGTTGTAGACAATTATTTCTACATTAGTATATATAGAGGTTCTAGCGTTAGGAATCGGATGGCAATATCATTACAAAATCTCTACAGAACTGAAAGTATCCAGGTCAGAGAGAGAAACGAGTTTGTGAGTAATATGTATGATTTTGTATACCAACTTTTATTTGTTTAATCAAAATAACTCATGCTTTTTCTTTACTTTGTGTTAGCCTTTATTGTTTTTCCTAGTTTATTTCATAGTGGATTTAAACACAGTTGAAACCGCTAATTTCTTTGTTTACCTTTAAACTTTATTCTCGTTAATTTAATGAACACTCAGTTTTAAACATATAACAACAATCGAACACCTTTTCTTTGAAAATTATGCACAAAATGTCTTAGAATTTTCTAGTTTAATCATGCAAGTAATTATTCAAAAGTATATGATTGTTTACCAAAAACACCGGTAAACACCTGTTTGTTGACTTTCTCTTCATTTTTATAAGGCTCATTGATGTTATTGATCTTCTTGTCGTCACTATCAGGTACCTCTCTATCTTCCTTTGCTTTTCCCTTTACTTTGTATTTGGTTTTGGCATCAATATTTTTTAGTACTTCTTCTATTTAGCTTATTTTTTCTGCCGAACTTTGATATTTCTCAGGATTTTATTGATTTGATTAATATGTATGTTGATATCACTATGTTTTCTATCTAGATAATTGAGGTTTGTCCTCTCACCATTTTAATATTTATGATTCTACCATTATCCAAGTGAGTCTTCTGCAACTCCTTGATATGTGATTTTCTTCTGATTGTCTCATTGATAGTTCTCCTTTGTTGATCATCTTTGTTGTTGCTTTTGTCTATGGTGTCCTTTATTTGCCCTTATTTACCATTCTTGTCCATACTAGTGATGGAGTTGTAATCGTTGTAGCTTTTATGAACTTACTGAATCACACTCATAACTTAGAAGTATTTGTTCTCATATGTAATTTGATTTCTGGCCATCCAGATACTGTCCAGAATGTTAATGTAGTGAGCTAGAGATTGATTATCCATTTGTTGTATGTTGTTTCTGCACCACTCATGTATGTTTTGGTTTTTCATGTTGTGAATTTGTATGTTTAGCTGTGAACCAAACCA